TTGTCATTCACTACGTCAGTTTTTTATTGTTTCAGGCTAATTAAGATGCAGGGTGACTCAGTGGAGGTATTATAATGGGAGACTGAACCGTAGGTTAGCTTTAGAAAGTCCATTTCCTCTCTGCTGTTGTCAGATTTCAGACGTGAGTCACAACACAACAGTTGTGGTATTGCACTTGTGTGTGTATGTTTGCTGTATTTTGTGCACTGATAGCGGAAGTTTTCTTCCCACAAAGGTATGTTTAGACCATCTGGTAGATTTCCACCTTCGGCAACAGCAAATGGAGAAAATATGTCAGATTTGGAGTTTATTTCCATTCTTAGAGACACTTGTGCTCCTGGCCATATCTGGATTAGCCACCACACAACACTTACCGTTGTAAGAAACCAGATTATTTCCTGACTTGACCTTATTATATATAAATTGAAATACATTTAACAAAAAGTGTTTTCAATTGGAAAAAAGTTATCCCATTTTCAGCATATAATTTATATATATTTCCGAAAAATGGGATAACATTTTGATTTCTGTAGTTACCAAAGCTCAGACCTAGTTTATAGGGGAATAATTGTGGGGAAAAAAATAATGGGAATATGGGAAGAACAACATAAACAAAAAAATAAAATAAATAAATAGGACAACAAAACATCTTAAATTTACTGTATTTTCATACCACACAGGGTTGTGAGATCCTTTTAAAACTGCCCATGTGATATTTTATTTTATTTTAATTTTTTTTCTGGCAACACGGATGCCAGGTGATGGTATTAAAACTGTTGGCTTTCAACAAGATGTGCATGCTCACAGGCGGTTCAGTCTTGAGCATGAAAATAGTTGCATTAAAATTTTTTAATTTATGAACCTTTTGGTTTTTCTCCCACATATAAAAAAAAAAAACAAAAAAAAAAACAAAACACACACATTAGGTTAACTAGTAACTTAAAATTACTTCTAGGTGTGTCAGAGTGTAAATGCTTGTTTGTCTCTACGTGGCCCTGTTATGGACTTGCAACCTGTCCAAGATGTACCCTGGTTCTCACACAGTTCTGCTGAACAGTCACAGTCACGGACAGCACCATCTCCCCACGACCAGGACAGAGAAGCGGGTAAAGAAAATGAACAGATGAATGTTTTCCTCAGTGCTGCAGGACATTAGATTTTGCTGTTTACAGTAAATGCAGTTCTGTTGTGGTAATGGCAGCTCAGAAAATGCTTCTGGGAAAATACTCACACCCACCCTCCCATACACACTCCCACCCCCACACACATGCACGCATGTACACTGTTGAGACAAATGAAGCACAAACAACCTATATGTGAACAATATATGATAGTAAGCTGAGTTTACCAAGTCGAGTTTTAAGTCAAGTGACTTTTTGGATGCATACAACGTTTTGTTTTTCCTTCCTGCAACACCTTAACAATTATTGAACATGCATATATTGCCTGGTGAATTGAAAGCATGTCATTGCAAACAACAACACTGGGGTCCTTGTTATAAAATTCCAATACTATTAACAGCCAGATGTTTGAGTAACAATTGCATGTGGCATTGATGGGAACCTTGCTGATGTGGGGACAGAACTGCCTCTGGTGTTCTTGGAGTTGATGAGCACAGCAAAATAATGGGAGAGTGATAGTGTTGAAACAATTGAGTAAAGGTATTTTATATATATATATATATATATATATATATATATATATATATATAATTTGCCAAGCCAAAAAAAACCACTCTTTTTTTCCTGAGTGTAAAATCATGTAACAAATATTAGGGAATAAATAAACAAAAAACAAACAACGTAATTTTTCATTTGGGAAGCCCCCCCCCCCTCCCCCCCAAAAAAAGCCATGCACCCTCTTTATGTAATATTCAGACCATTTTTAAGTGAATAGTTAGGACTAAAAATAAAACCAACAAGTCTAGATTGTACAATAGAATCAACAGATTTTAAAGTTCCACCATTATGAATCATCCTCCTGAACAGTTCTCAGTCCTCCGGGGCCGTCTCTGACAACACCTGAGCTCATTGCTCTGTTTGTGACTTGGTAGAAAGATGCCCAGGAGCTTTTCTGTACATAATGGCCTGACAATACTTTCAACACATTTATATTCATAAATGTACATCACTGTTCATATTAATGCCATTCTTCTTTATCTTGTTCTTCTTCGCTCCTCATGTGAATATTTTATTTTAAGCTTGTCCTGATCACCTTTTTTTAACACTGTTGTGCTAACTGTGTAAAAAAAGTTTTGTTAGAAATCAAAAAAAAAAAAAATCTTGTTGTGGTTCTTTAAATTTTAGTAACACCGGACTTCTAACAAAATCATGCAGTTTAGATCAGTGCTGCTTCTTTGGCTCCCATGATGTTTGAATTCATTATTTTTCTGTGTTGGGTGTTGAGCAATTTCCCATGTTCAACTTATTTTAATGTTTTTAGTTCACTGTTAACCCTTTTAATGTCAGAAACCTCTGTTCAAGCTTGCTTGTTAAATGCTCCACCACAACCACCAATAAATAAACAAATAAATAAAAATATAAATACTGTACAAGGGTAGTACATTTTGGACAGAGAACTTTTCCAAGTTTATAAAAAAAGTATTTGTGTTAGCAACCAGATTAGATTTTTGCAATATGATTTCATGACATTAGTAGCTTTAACATTACTGAGAGTTTTGACCAAATACAGATATATTTTTCTTTTAAACGCAAATCAACAAATATGCACACCAAAAGTATGCATGCTTCTTAAAAGCTTACTAGCGTCCGAGATATAATACACATCTTCTACTCGGTTTTGTTTTAATTTAAACATATTTAACTCTGACTTGTCATCAGCAGTAAAGGAGGACAAACACCAGTGGTCGACTTCCCAGTCTTTGAAGAAGTATTTGAGTCACAGCAAAGTCAGATTAGGCTCAAATAAATCTGCCTGTCACCAACTGGACAGGGCTGTTAAAAGCCCATGCATGCTGAGGATGATAAGGACAAAGCATTGTCCTGCATTAGCTGCTGGATAATATTCTGCTCTGCGTTAAAATTAGAGCTTGTCATTTACTGTAGGCTAAATCTGGATGTGACGTGATTCATCTGGACAGAATGGGCTTGTGCATTGTCTGACTAAATTTGTCCTCAGAGATAAATGTGCAATGTCCAAAAAGGAGATTATTAAGAACAGAGTATTTTATCCTGATGCATGCTCAATAATCCAGGTAGAAAAAAAATCTGACAAAGTTAAGTCAGGTTCAATATATATATATATATATAAACAAGAAATTAAAAATTCAACATTTATTTGAACTTTTTGTGTTTTATCCAAAATACTTTGTCAATCTGAGGAGCTGCAATAATCTCAGTCTTATAAATGGCACCTTCTCATAGTGGATTAACCAGTTTGATGGTGACATCCAGAACTAGCTGTTCACGTGTAAAAGGAGGCCCATCAAGCTAACAAATGGTCATTAGTGTCCTGATGGCTGTTTGCTATTCACTGGGTGAGTGATACTAGCAATGACATCATGGTAAGAGGGGGACAGTTGGACATGGAGGCCTCCACTCTGTTCAACGATGGACGGTTTCTTTTTACAAAGACGGCCTCCTTTACTACGCTCTCAAACCAACTACGTCGTATTTTATAGTGTCAGACAAATTTAAAGGGAATTATGTAACGTGCTAAACTAAAGTTTAGTAACTATAGAGGTGCAGAATCCTCAAACTAATCTGGTACTTCTGTAGATGTATATCATGAATATTAGAACTATTGGAAGATAAAGGTACCAGCATCTACACCTATGCTTCATTGCATCAAATATGCTAAAGTTGATCTTTCTTTGAGGTTTCAAATATCCTCCTCTACAGACTGAATATATATATATATATATATATATATATATATATATATATATATATATTTATCACTTACCATGTTGTCATATATCTCGCTCATGTCATGTGCTTTCAAGCTATTTGTGCAACAAATCAAACCACTGCGTGTGATTCAAAGAAAGCAAACCACCAAACAATATTAACAACTTCTTTTAATAAGGATTTAATTGGATGCTCTTCTAATTGCTGAGTGTTGTCTTCTGCTATTTAACTTAGCACCTGATTTTAATTGTCTGCATTTCATTTCATATGTAGTTATGTTTTCAATCATTATATCCATCTGGTACAAGAACATTCTGTCCAGATCAAAAAGTGTGTTGGTTACTCTGCATAATTTTCAGATCTGATGCAAATATTTCATGCATTTTACTTTTAGTTTTACAGATGCTAAAATAAGCACTAGTGTTGAGCAGATATTCTAAATTGTAACACCTTAATTATAGTGCACTTGCATGGAAACACTGTTTTGAAATAAGGGGATTTGGATGCTTATACAACTACAGTGCATTAGCAAATAAGTTCAGCAGGAATTTTAATACGCTCTGGATTATGAATCATCTTCCATTTTTTGTGCTAATGGTTGTCTGAGACATCAAACAAATAGCATGCCACCCAAGACCTTTAAAATCATAAAGCTGCAGAGGGACAATCTAGGATTATGCTGTACCAAAATAACCAGATAATGCATATTAAATGCCCAGCAGACAATATCCACAGCAAACATGCTAGCAAATACTGTCGGTGAGCATTTTGTAACCCTAAAGTGATCCTGACTCGGAGTGAAGGTGACGTGTTGCAGCATCCCTAATGCAGACTTTAACTTTTTGTGAAGCAGCATTAGTCAGAGATGAGCACAGTGGTAACAAACGTCACTCAAGAGGATCAGAGACCTTGAGAAAAATGTGGAAAGAGACTATTCTTTTAAGGATATAGAGTGACGTCTTATGAGAACAAAACAGTGCATCATCTCATGTTTCTAAGTCTTGCGTTGCAAGATATAAAGCATTTGGATTAATAAAATATAAATATTATAAATTGTACAAAATATAATTATATTACAACAGATTACAATACATCCAAAGGTTGTGGTTGTTTCTAGTTTGTCAGACTAACCTGCTGGAATGTCAGTCAGAAGTGCACTCGAGCTCACAGCTTCTGTAAAAAAACAAATGAATTCAGAGTACAGCAGAACTTAAAGTGTATTTTTATTTTGTCTTGTCTAAATACCCAATCATGTTTATTTTACTAACCCTCAAAACGTGTTCTTGGTGCCTAAGTAAAATAGCTTTTTACCTAAACCTAACCAAACTGTAACAAAAGTGAGAAAATGAAACATTTTGTACTCCCACTTGTGGTGATTTAAAGCTGCACCTTAATGCAATGCGCATTGCTACATCAATTTCCATTTTACATTCCTCCACATGTACACCTGTGTACTTTCTCATGTGCAATGAAAGTGATCCAAAGTAAATCCACCAGCTTTGTTCTTGTAGTGCTCAGTGACAGAATGGGACTTCAATATATTTACCACATCTACATGAACACAGTTTATTTTGTAGTTGAATTCTTCAGAAGAAGCACTGATCCGAAGCAAAACATTTGTAAATACAAAATTAAAGTAAATTTAAATTAAATAAAAACATTATGTGTGATGCAGGTAAATCATAAAAATCATGGCTTATTATAGGCATGCACAGGACAAGAAGGTGTTGATGGTACCATCACCAAACCAGATAAGAAGCTGAAAAAAACCTTAACCCGAGGTGGCACTTGTGTGGGCTTCAAAGCCTTCTCCATCTTTGTTAGCACAAGTGAGTGACATTTACTGGACTGGGAACCCACCAGAGCTACCAGCATCAAGGAAGGGAAGGAGGAAGGTGTGAACTGATAAGACACTGTGCTCATAGGGAATATCATGGATGCACAAAACAACCAGAGATGTAGACATGCAGTGTGCACAGATTCCTCTAAAAGTTTATGAGACATGACTGGAGAATATTGCATGGGAGATGCACAAGGTTGCACAAGCAGCAGATTTATTATTGTTTCAAATATTAGCCAAACAGACAACAAATCACTTCATTAAGTGTTTTTCCCCTCATTTAACTGCAAGCTGCCAACCCGTCCTGTGTATTATGAAGAATAACAGAAGAAGAAAATAATACCCAGAGCTCAGTGGCCATAGCAAAATTACATAACACTCTTATCGGGTAAATCAATATGGATCGTTTACCTTGAGTTTGGTGTGAGGGAGATCGGCTGCACTCTTTCTTCCCCTCCTGTTTTACCACTGCCTCTACACAACGTGCGTTTTGGCAGAGCGCAGCCTCGGTCAAGCCAATGCTGTGTTTGTAAGCAATTGTACAGCTAAAGACGGAACGTATCTCATGCTTCTGATGCCAGTGAGTGGGAGCTACATGCAGCACTCTCATTGGTGTGAAATCAGAGGGGAGAGAGAGCAGGCGAGATGGATGGAGGCAGAGAGAGACGGTGCTGAGAGGGGGTTAGAGTCAGAGAGACACAGAGGGTGAAGAGAGCATTGTTTGCTCAAGGAAATCTCTGAGGACAACCCTGAGCACATCTGTGAGGAGTGGAGCTTCACTGTGATGTGTTTGAAGAGATGAACACGTTCATGCGTGGAGCAAAATGCTGCTGAGGCAAATGATTTTAGTGATGCTGTTGAAGGCAAACACTTAAGATCTACTGAAAGAAGACACAACGAGAAGACTGAGTAATTTATTAACATGAACACTAATTATGAAAAAGTTTGGGGCATTGTGTAAAACTTGCAAATCCCATAAACACATTTTATTTACATTGAAACATAGAAAACCTATTAAATATTTAAACTATGATTAAGCATTATTTTTTTTTAAAGGAAAAAGTGACTTTGAATGATATAACAGCATCAAATCTTAATAAAGTCGGAACAAGGAACATGCATTTATTACTGTGAAACATCCACTTTTCTTTTGACAACTGCCTGAACTCATCTAAGAACTAAAATGTTCCAATTTGGTCATTAAATGTATGTTTTATTATTTTTTTTCTTCTCATTTTCATTTAAACTACATTGTGTCCCATTCTTGACTGATGTAGGATTCTTGCTGGGTTTTTTTATGTCCGATTCTTTTGCTGGATGGGAGCACGTGATGCTCTAAAATTTGTGCTTACTTTTCTGCACAGATTGCACATTTCCAGATGTGCAAGCTGCCAATGGCAAAGGAAGTAATGCAGGAATACAGAAATGAAAATCAGATAAACAACAAAAGATGAAAATTATAACTCACTTATAGTTTTCATTAATGATTCAATTGTAAGAAATCGAAAGAAAAACAGTGTGTTGTTACCACAGTACATTCCCTCTGTTAACCTTTGATTTCTGTCTTTTCTAAATTTGAATATGATTTATTGACTTACTTACACTGACTGAAAAACAAATAAATAATATGTTCATTGATATTGAACAGTGATGTATAGAATGATCCTCAAACAGAACAGGGTGGATTGCTCTCTTCGGGTTGAGGTTCTGCCTCATGTTGAGGAGTTCAAGTATCTCGGGGTTTTGTTCACGAGTGAGGGAAGAATGGAGTGTGAGACTGAGAGATAAATTGGTGCAGTGTCTGCAGTATTGTGGACTCTGTACCGGTCCATTGTAGTGAAGAGGGAGCTGAGTTGTAAGGCAAAGCTCTCTGTTTACTGGTCAGTCTACGTTCCTATCCTCACCTATGGCCATGAACTCTGGGTAATGACCAAAAGAAGGAGATCACAGATACAGGTGGTTGAGATGAGTTTCCTACACAGGGTAGCTGGGTTCTCCTTTAGAGATAGGGTGAGACGTTTAGTTATCTAGGAGAGACTCGGAGTAGCACCATTGCTCCTCCACATGGAGAGGAGCCAGTTGAGGTGATTCTGTCATCTTGTAAGGATGCTTGCTGGGCACCTCCCTAGAGAGTTTTTTTGGGGGTATGTCTGACTGGGAGGAGACCCTGGGGAAGACCCAGAACATGCTGGAGAGACTACGTCTCTCGGTAGGTCTGGGACCACCTTGGAGTCCCCCCAGAAAACCTGAAAGAGGTGGCTGTGGAAAGAGATGTCTGGGCCTCCCTGCTCAAGCTGTTGCCACCGAGACCCGACTTCAGAATAAGTGGAAGATGATGGATGGATGTAAAGGAATACAAAATGCATCAAACTGTCACACAGTTAATGTAATCTGCTTTATTCAGACTGGATAGTCGTGTACATTTCTCACTTTTTCAATAAAGTAATTTTAATGGTAACTTGGAGACTTTCACTGTATCATCTAAGTCAGGGGTGTCCCATTTACAAAGGGGGCCAAAATTAACCTTTTTCATACTAAGGGCCGGTTTCAGAAACCACATTAACTCAAGTCAGATACCCAACATCTTTTATTGGTCACAGGTTCCTCAACAAGAGTTTCATTGGTCCCATTTAATGTTCTCTGTTACACTTTAGACATCATAATCACAAAATACTGAATAAAATCAAGAGATACAAGTATTTTACATTTAACACATATCATCTTGGGGGCCAGATAAGATGTCAACGAGAGCCACATTTGGCCCCCGGGCCTTGAGTTTGACACATATGATCTAAGTCATCGGGTTATATTTTATGTAGTAACTGTTATGAAATACACCATCTACAGAGATGCAGTCAGAATGGAAGTGGTGTTTTGGGTTGTCATCAGAACTCAAACCATCTCTCAGCATCTACTGAGTAGTTGTGCTTAAGGTAATATTACACGTGCAGAAAAATAAAAAATCACATTTGCACCTTATATGATTGTATCCAAAACAAAGCAGGTGGCATACACAAAACATCTGAACATATTTCATATGGATAGAGGAAAGAGTGAACATTTATCTGCAATCTGCAGAGAAAGATCAGATCTGCCAGGAACTGTGAGAGGAGGCGGTCTGGCAGAGAATGGATCGTTTCTACCAAGAAAGATGAACAAGTGTTGTAAAATCACACACACACACAATCATGGATACACACTGCCAGACAAGTCTATTTTCCTACTTCTTTATTTTACAGCTTCATACAAGGACACGTGTTGGAATTAAATTAAACCATGAAGGGTAGGACATTTTAACAGTTTGATACATTTACAATAATTACTAAAAACAAAAACCTACAGACTTAGTCTTTTTTAGAAAACACTGCATAACAGACTTCAACCCTGACATTTAATGAAAACAAAATCTAGTTCAAGGTAAATAATACTTTTTTTTTTTTTTTAAATGCCTATTGCATTTTGCCTTTCGGCAGAAGAGACATCCAGACGTCCACTATGACATGCATCTAAAACGAGGACTGATTTTAGCCTGCACCAACACATTTCTGAATAACCTGCAGACATATGTTGATTAAGACAAGTAAAATCATCATATTTTGCAGTTGCATATGACAACTTGTAAAGTTATTAACAGTCAGAAGTCCATCCATCCATCCATCCATCCATCCATCCATCCATCCATCCATCC